TGTTCGATGTTCGATGTTCGACTTTTCCAAAAATTACGTAGGACCCACCCTTATTTCGGCGACCGGAGCAGAATCCGGTCAGGCGTGCTGTCTTCATCACACCACACCTAGAAGCGGTGCAGCCCAGGAACACAGGAGGTCTCTCACATTCTTGGGCTTCTGCGGGCCGTAGTAGTGGCGTCGGGCGTGGTGGCAGCAGGAGAAGCTCATCGTGTAAATGGTCAGCCTTTATCGGTAGAGGCCATCGAGGTACCGGAACTCGGTCGTCTGGGCGTATTTCTGCCCCGCGGCTTCGATGATCGGCGGTGGAGGCGGGGCGGGCTGTAATAAAAAGGTGTATGAAGCATTCCTCGTCGCAGGGAGGGGTCCTCCTCTGATGGTGGATGGCGTATTATTGCGCATCCATATCTTCTACAATAAGTAATATTATTTCGATCAGCGGTGAAGAGAGCACCACCACCACCACCAACAGGCCTCGTACGTGGAAGTTGTTGACTGTGTTGTAGTATGCGTACTGCATGATACTACTATCACCGGTCGCCCCGGTGGTCTAGTGGTATCCTCGTAATAATCCGCTAATAGTCGCAGAGAGAGGTCGTGAGTTCGAATCCCCATGGGGTGAAAAATTTACGAAATTTGCGGGTGAAAGCGAAATAGTCTATAGCTTAAAAGCTCTCGTGAGTACCAAACTTACACGTTGGCACCGTTGGCGAGGGAAAGGGACGGCTGGACCCTTCTCGCGATAAAAATAAAATTCAGCACGCACCGCAGGAGGAAGGTGGGGCATGAAAAGAAATATAAAGAAGAAAAAAAGCCCTGGTGTTTACCCCCTCCTGTGTGACCCTGGATGGCTGTAGTTGTACAAAAAAATACACCGAAAAGTGTAGTACACTACATACGCTGAAAAGTGAGTGCAGAGTAGTACACGTCTCACCACGAAAAATGGGGGGACTGTAACCATAAAAAAAGGGCGAAAACACACACTGCTGCACCTATGACTACGTAGATGGTCTGGTACATGTTGGGGCCTTTCGTGACAGTTTTAGTGCAAGGTTCTCCAGCCATCAGTCACTTTTGATGTCCAGGCGATCGGGCATCGAAAAGTATTCCCTGAGAGCAGGAAGCTAGGGCTATCGAGCTTGAAGGTAGTAAGTGGTAGTGCACAGGAGTGATGTGGTTGAAACTTTCCGCAATACTTTGGACCCAGTAGTGTACACAAGAGCATCGATGGTGACGATGAGAGCAGCGGAAACCATCGAAATCTGAATAGTCTATATTTCGGCTTTGTACCCGAAACACGCAACCAAGACCACGATATGTCACGCATACGTAGACTAGTACTACAGAGGGACGCCCAACAACAGCAAGGGAGAAATACATGCGTAGTATGAGAACGGAGAGGTAAGAGAGAAGGAGATTCGCAACCCGCAGACATGGAAAGGTGTTTTTGTCGGCGGAAAGATGGGGGATCCGGCGCACCGGTCCATGGTCCCCTGTCCACAGACACAGAACCAGAGAACCGGCCTCAGCCAGCAGAAAGCGTACTGCAGTTTGCCCAATAAAAACATCCCAGAAAGTTCCCTGGATGCTTAGGGGCCCGGTAATGGGTGGGCGCCACACACATCGCGCGGTCGATGCAAATAATAAAAATACACCCACCTTTAATTTCTTCGCTTTCGCTTCTCCCCACCTGCTCTCCACACGTTCACCACTTCTCTACAGGGACCGATCAAGGAGGTATTCCTGGACTGCCAGGTAAGGCTGCTTGCCTTCTCGTACAGCCTCGGGGTTCGGCGCTTTGTTGTGCTCGGCGTGTGTGGTGGTGGTGCGATGTTTCATGTTTCATTTCCTTTTTGTTGGAGTCTGCGGTAGCGGAATTGGTGACACGCTACTTGTACACAGACGTCAAGAGAGAGCCATCTGCCCTTGTGGTAGGAAAAGGGCTTTGATGCGCACCGTTGCGACAAGCCCGTACCTCCCCGCCTGCAATAGCGAAACATCTGCCTCGCGTTTGAAGGCTACAGCAGTTGCATGTGCGTCGTCCCCTGAAGCCATGGCAACCTGGAGGCATAATTGTTGTTCTGTGGGCGAACCGCGGCTCCAAATGTCGTGAGTGGTCCGCTTTTTGGCAGTGTGGCCTCTCCTGGCCATCGTGGTTACTCAGTTATTGCTGTTGCCGATGCTCGAATACTGCTGTCGGCGTGGTGGGTCTTCGCGTGCATATCCGGTTCGGTCTCTACGAGTTTCTTTCTCTTCCCACGTTCTGGCGTGTGCTTAGGAACGACTCCGGGTGGTCAGGAGCGAGCTCATGAGTTGGGCGCCGAGGATGCGCCTCACCATATGTGTGTGTGGCCTTGTGCGTGTTTGCAATCTGGCTCAAGCAATAATCGTTTCTTAGCCAGTGCCTGAGGAGTTTGGCAGCACAAAGCAATACCGATAGAAGCCCTTACCATGTGCGCATCCATGCGCTCGGACTTTAGAGTAGCGTGAGGGGTTAGGAGGGAGGGCGCCCCGGGGCATCGTTTGCCCGTGCACATCAGCACATGCAGAATGCGCAGGTATGCAGACAGCTGCCTCTGAATTTTCGAACTTAGACCTTGCCCAGACAAAAAATTGGCTACCAAACAGTCTTGTTGAGCCTGCTACCCACAGGGGAGATATCGNGCGCCTCACCATATGTGTGTGTGGCCTTGTGCGTGTTTGCAATCTGGCTCAAGCAATAATCGTTTCTTAGCCAGTGCCTGAGGAGTTTGGCAGCACAAAGCAATACCGATAGAAGCCCTTACCATGTGCGCATCCATGCGCTCGGACTTTAGAGTAGCGTGAGGGGTTAGGAGGGAGGGCGCCCCGGGGCATCGTTTGCCCGTGCACATCAGCACATGCAGAATGCGCAGGTATGCAGACAGCTGCCTCTGAATTTTCGAACTTAGACCTTGCCCAGACAAAAAATTGGCTACCAAACAGTCTTGTTGAGCCTGCTACCCACAGGGGAGATATCGATGTATGCTGTCTGGGAAACCGTAGACATACAGGTAGCCTTTCGCTCACGTTACGGATTCACTGCTGATCTATTATAGACTTATTTCTATAGATAAAAGATGGATTTGTTGTGTGAAATTAAGAAGAAAAAAAAGCGATTCGAAAAGAGGCTCAGATTTTTTCGGCATGACGTGGCAACTCTAGGGGCAACAGCCCCTCGCTGATTGGCCGAAAGACTCGCGTGCGCGTTCCCCACGCCGCTGCTTCCCTTCTGTCCACAAAAAAGATGCGTGTTGTTGTTGCTTGGATGGCTGCTATCATCCAAGGTGCCAGGAGCATCTAGCAGGGGTGTTGTCACCGCAGAGAAGTACTCTGTGCAAAGGCTTTTCTTGCAAGCAAACTCTCAGCTGCTTGTTCCAATCAAGCTTAAGAAAGAGGTGGCGGTTCATTCAGAAGCAGCTGCAGCAGTGGTTCTCGCAGCAGCAGCTTCGACCGAGAACAGATCACCCCCATACAGCGAATTTTGAAGCAGCATTGCAAATCGCAACAGCTGTGTAGAGGGGGTGGCGCCGATAGAGAGTAACACAAGGCAATTTTGGGCCACCTCCCAGCAGTTCGAGTGGTCCACAGCTCATGGTCTGGGTGTTCCTCTTGAACTGTTTGTAGACAAGAAATTGCCCTTTTTTCGTTGGTGATGCGCATACTTAATCGCATCCCAACATTCCCTGTCGGTCTTCCACAGCGATCACCTCATACATACACACATGTATGCGTGTGTTTTTATTATTAGCATCGACCGCGCTAACCGGCTGACCAATTAAAAGACGTCAGTGCCAGCGGGTACAAACCAATGACCCTGGAAGGGGGCCAAAATGCGAAAAATGCGCAATGCGCTTGATGCGAATGCCAATACGAATCTCTACATGTTCTTTCACGTAGACACACATCTCAGCTACACAAATGCCCTCGCTCGAATCTACGAAGCCACTGATGCAAAGAGCGGAGTACAGCAAAAGGGTTATTTCAAGCCCAGCCGAAGCCAGGATATCGTGGTATGCTGCATCTCCCAATTTGATAATCGTACACTCCCAAGATCCAACAGTCATCGTGCCAGCGGCAAGTTGTTCAAACAAAATAGCAACACATACACTGCCATATCTCGACACATGCCCTCGTCCGAACGTAGCAAGCCACTAGGAGGTCACGAGGGAGCCAAGTCCTGCTCGCAGGTTCTCTTGGCTTTCCTTCAGGTGAACACGTCCAGGAATCCAGTATCCGCAGCCGCCGCAGCAGTACTGCTGTACTGTGTAGTAGTAGCAGGAAATCCAGGTTGTACCCACCCGTTGTGCAAACAAAGATTTGTGATTCCGTGAGAGGAGATACCACCGCCGTGGAAGGGTCGTAGGCACTGTCTGCCAGATGTAGGCTGTGAGATAGATGGTGCCACTTATGTGTTCTTAGCCTGCCCGCCCGTGAGGATCGTGACGAGGCCGTGCGTGTGATATATGTGTGTTTTCGTCCTATTTTTTATGGCGACAGTCCCCCCATTTTTCGTGGTGAGACGTGCACTACACTCTTCAGCGTATGTAGAGCACTACACTTTTCAGTGTATTTTTCTGTATGTACAACTACAACCATCCAGGGTCACACAGGAGGGGGTAAACACCAGGGCTTTTTTCTTCTTTTTATTTATTTTCATGCCCCACCTTCCATCNGGCGACAGTCCCCCCATTTTTCGTGGTGAGACGTGCACTACACTCTTCAGCGTATGTAGAGCACTACACTTTTCAGTGTATTTTTCTGTATGTACAACTACAACCATCCAGGGTCACACAGGAGGGGGTAAACACCAGGGCTTTTTTCTTCTTTTTATTTATTTTCATGCCCCACCTTCCATCTGCGGTGCGTGCTGAATTTTTATTTTTATCGCGAGAAGGGTCCAGCCTTCCCTTTCCCTCGTCAACGGTGCTAACGTCGAAGTTTGGTACTCACAATAGCTTGTCAGCTATATCTCGCTTTCACCCGCACATTTCGTAAATTTTTCACACCATGGGGATTCGAACTCACTACCTCTGCGACTAGCGAATCACGAGGATACCATTATATATGCTGTAGACGCACTCCGCCCGCATCGGAGGAGGAGCAGTGTGTCTGGCTGTTCAGAGGTGTGGTGACAGGAGGCTCGGACGAGTCTGTACCGTGCGATGCCTATCTTCTTGTGGTTCGCTACTCTGTTGCTGTTGAGTAATCTGGACCTTTTGAACAGGACCCCACGTCTCAGATGAAGTGAGGTTGTTGTCTGAGCCGCGGGCGGAAAGTGGGCCCGTCTTGGATAAGTAATGACGTAACCGGCTACATTTTTTTGTTTTGCTAAGACACAACGAATCCATCTCTATCTAAAAAAGAGTCTTGATGATTTCTTACGGTTTGAAAATTATCAGTTGAAAAATTGAAATTTTCAATTCCCAGATCCAACTCGGAAAATGTCCCTCAAAAATAGAGCACCCTTCTTACGGATCGACGGAATTGGAAACGCTAAAAACAGGGGGGGGGGTTCACAATTACACCCCCGCCAGACGACGCAACATCATGCCGCTACTCAAACCACGCAACATCATGCCGCTAGTGGAACCACTGCTACTGCAAGGCCCGAACAACTACTCCGATGCGCTGCTGCTGCTCCCACCAGGCAGAGGTACGCCAATACCTCCGCTGCGTGACGCGTCGTGTCCTCTTTACCTTCGGGCCGACGACTTCCTCCTCGTCCTCCGAATCCTCGTCGAACAGCACAGCATCCCAATAGGATACCGAGCTTGCTGTGCGCCGGCGACCATCCTCCTCGTGGATCTGGTGCAAAGCCGCCAAGGCGACCGACAGCACTGTTGCTTCCAACAGATCGTCGCCGGTCCCCATATCGGGCGCACCGCGCTGACAACAAAGCACCGGGTCTGCGCGTGTAAGGCGCTTTGCTAGGCTGTCACGCGCTATGCTGTGCTGTGCTGCTTTGTGGTGCGCTGTTGTGCACTGTCGGGTGCTTCCAGCGACCAAAGCAGGTGTGGTGGCGGGTCTGTGTGATGCACCCCCCCCCTCATGGTTTGGATTTCCAACTAGCTTTCAACTTGGTCGCGACTTGAAAAATTCTGAAATTTTCAACTGCGCAGAGCGTTTCCAATTTGTTGGCCCAAGTTGAAAATTCACTTGTCAAAAAAATCGATTTTCCAAACCGTAAGAAGCTCTGTTCGGCTGGGAAATTGAAAGAATTTTTCAAACCTTAAGAAACGGCCTTTTTAACCATGAATCCATAACGTCAAATCTGACCCTCTTTGTCTGACCCAATCTAAAAACGCCGATCCACCGAACAATTTGTCAACCAACCTCATCCTGTACGCTTTTTTTTTTTGTGTGTCGTCCCTCCTATGCTGTGTGATGTTTGGTGCTGCCGGGTCGACCAGGTGGACAAGACAACTGCGGTCCCCAGCACAAAGCGTAGCGCACGGCATTGGTTACCTCTACGCCGTCGGACTACGATTGCCATCAGTCATGGCACGTACTCCAGGAACCCGCCCTCGCCTTGCGTCGCTCTACTTCCTGATAGCCGCTTCCGCGGTCGTGCTGCACGCCGACGCGCAAAATTGCACGGAGGACACAGTCACACAGGCATGCGGTGAGTTCAACTGGCGAACCTCCGACGCGCTGAAGTTTTTTTGTTCTTGGGGAGATGGAGTGGGGGGGCGAAGTGTGCTGACCGCCTCCCAGTGCTCCAAACGGTGTTGGCGCCGACGAACCAACCCCTTTGATAGACAGAATAGGTTTGCACCGGGAGCATTGCTTGGTGCAGAATGTAACTTGGTATCAAGCACTGCTGCTGCTGTAGCCCTCCAGCGTCGAGTCGAATGGTTTTTGGGTACACACGACCTTTTCGCTTTGCAAGATCCCAGTTGCGTAGCAGATACGCACCATACCTCTTTTGGTACATGTTGGATATCTATTAGCGAAGTTGGAAATCGCCACTCATAACCCCAGGAGTGTGTAAGGCCTGGTCGCGTGGGCCCCGGATGAGGAGCACCAACCCCCCCTGCGGAATCTTGGCAAGAGCGTGAAAATTCGAGCTTGTCCAGGTGTTGCGCCTCTTTAATGAAGTGGTACTCCTTCACAACGGGCAACGGCAGGACACGTGCGTTTTTTATTCGCCTCGGGGACGGATCTCGCCAAACCATGTTTAATATATACTCACAGTACTGCGGTCGTGTCGTCATACATTTCCAAGTTTTATCATAGGAAGAAATATATATGGTTGCCCAAATGTCTTTAGGGTGGGTCGTGGATATGACCGAAAACTAGCGTATCTTCATGGAATCCCTCCTTCAACCCGACGAAGGGCACTTCAATACGACGCCGCCGGGCTAAGTGAAACGCTGCTGCTCTAGACAAGTCTTACCACCAGCACCCGCAGTCATGAACGTGTTTCTTAGTTGTACTGCTGTTTCGGATACATTCGGTCGATGCACCCACCCCCGAAACAGAGACAAACAACTGACGCGTACACCCTCTGTACATCAAGTGCGACCAAATGCATCGTACGTACGAGGCCTCGGAAACGATTCTTGAAACGAGTTGCCTTCTGCCAGCAGCATACAAGCGAGCGGAGCAAGAAGTGCACGTCCTCACGGTAGCACCAGCAGCACCAAGTGCAGCAGTAGTAGCTGATTGATTATGGACCAGAGCCTTTTTTTTGTTCACACCATCAAGCAACAGTCAAAGTCGTTCCTCCCGCGTTGCTACACAGCAGGGAATCCTGCATACGCATGTAACGTGGCAATCGCTACCTCCGTTTGATGGTTGAGGCCCCAACCACATTTATCTTACTACGCCTGCTCTTCAGTTTCAGCTCTTCAGTTTCCGGCCCGAATGTGTGTTTGTACAGCGGCATCTGAACGTAATCATCCACAAATTTCATACGACAGTCTACCGCTGTATCCATCTCAGCAAACAATCCCACCCCGGCGAGACCGGTACATGGACGACAATGAGTATTGTCCGCAAGAGCGTGTGGTACCGGACCGTCGGTGCAGGCCCCACCATCCATGACACGCGACCTTTCGTAAACATGTGCCGTGGGATTGTTGCTGCTGCCGGACTACGCGAACGGCTTTGATTCGCCTAAACCTCCCTTCCAGTTGTCAAGCTGTCCATGTCCACCACAAGTATTTCGTTCTTTTCTTCGGTGGTCGTGATACATTTCTTACTTAAAAGTATAGGATAAACATGGTATGCCAGTACAAGAGCTCAGGACGCCGTGGACTACCGCCGCCCCCGTCCTTCGTTTGCTCCGCCGCTCTCCGTGTAAGGTGGACACGAACGTTGATGACAAACATCAAATGCATACCAAGTGGGACGCTCCGTCCTGGTTGTGGAAAGATGTGAATACCTGCCGCAGACAGACAGACTTAAATCGAGCTATAATGTATCCCGAAAAATGATAATATGATGAGTATGACGCGCTACTCGCAGAAAAAACACCGATGATGGAACGAAGAGTGACCAGGAAAGTATTCGCTGACCCCCAAGAAACAAATATTTCTTGCCTAAGAAAAACAAATCTGAAACACCAACGACTTGACAGCATTGACTTGTGATGTGTGGACAAAACTCACGGATTGAAGCACCCACAGATCCGTATCAATCGCTCTGCGTGTCCGAGACAGATATGAGGACTGGTGGGTGAAAGAGGCACTACACTCAGCTGTGGCTGACGGGGTGCATGCAGGCTGGATGGAAGACACGCACCACAAAACAGAAAAGCCCTCTACGCAACACAAAAGATGTTGGTTCGGAGCGGAACAACGTACTGTAGTGTCTCGCCCAATCAGCGTCGGGAATCTGAATTTTGATCGTATCAAAACAACAGCACATATTCAGACAGATGCTTTAGATGCAGGTGCGAACGACTCCGTTTTTGGCGATGCGGGCAGCTCGCCATGCACCGTGCGCCTGAGCCTGCGACGGCGGGGTCTTGCGGAAAGAGGGCGTCACCTGGGCTCCTCGAAGTGGGAGGGCGAACGGGGTCCGGTAGGAGGCTGACCGGGCCCGTTGAGTTTTTCGTCTCGATATGAAAGCAGTGCATATTCCCCCGCTGCAGCGCTGTGAGGCGTCGAGCTGGAGCTTGAGTGAAAAGTACATGTACCTGTATGAGGTGGCCAAGCCTAGGAACCCCCCCGAGAGGGCCTAAACTACATTCGGTACACAGGTGTGGTTGGGGCCTAAGCCATCACACAGAGGTCACCATTGCTGCTGCACGCGTGTTGCGGGACCCTCTGCTGTGCAGCAGCGCGAGAACGACTTCGACAAGTTTGTGTTTGGCGTGAGCGAAAAAACATTCTCATTCATCATAAATCAGCTACTCCTCACTGTACTTGCTGCTGCTGGTGCTGCCGTGTGGACGTGCACTTCTTGCTTCCCTCGCTTGTATTCTGCTAGCAAAAGACAGACAAATGGTTTCAAGAATCGCTCCCGACGCTTCGTACGTGCGATGAGATTTGTCGCTATTGGCCTGCAGCAATATATGCGCATCGTTGTCTGTCACTGAGGGGTGGTTGCATCGACCGAATGTATATCTTAACACCACTAAGATCATACGATTATCTACGCAACCGACGTATAGTAGTGTGGACCCACATCGGTTCCAAAACGTACCCTTGTTTCGTACGGATGTCGTCATTGCCTCTGCTCGCTCTGCCTACCAAACCGCCGCACCCGTCCCACGCATGCTGGCCGCCCGCCCCACTGAGGGGCGGAGGGCCAATCGTTCCCCCTAGCTCCGTTTTAATTACGAGAAAAAAATTAATTTAAAACACGGCTCTTGTCACACCCGTGGAAGGTGGAAGCGCTGAAGGCCCAGCAGTAGTTCCTGGCGCAAGGCGAGCACGACATTACGTAGAGTGCTACCAGCACCGAAGAGCCGTTTCTTCCAACGCAAGAGCTGCAGTAGAATGTTGACCCCTGCACTGTCGAATCCCCCCGTGCGAACAACCCGTACTTCAGATAGTAGCGACGTCTGCCCCGAGTGCATCGCCGTCCTTACGGACAGTTCCTTCTTGGACTGCCTGTCGGGCATCAACGCCGCGTTGGACTCTTGCGAGTTCACGGAGCAGGCGGCGTGCTGCTTGAACGAGATCTCCGGCACCGACTGCCTTAGCGACCTGCCTACCTTGGAGTACTTCGATTGCCTCTACGACCTGGCCGAGCCGTGCGACGTGACCTTGACGTGCACGACCCCGGCGCCGGTCGCTACTTCGGGGACGGGCACGCCTGTCGCCGGCGGTGGCGGCGGCGGCGGCAGGCCGTCTGGGCCCACCGCTGCTCCCGCTCCCGGCGGACCCGGGACGTCCGCGCCCGCTGGTGCCGGCGGAGCTGAGACCATGATGCCCACTGTTTCTGGAGACGGCGGCATGCCCGGTGCACCCTCCGACACCACCGCGCCTGCTGCCGCACCTGCGGCGGACGGAGCTCATACCAGGATGCCCACCGTCGCCGCGGACGGCGGTAGGTCCGGCCCTCCCTCGGGTACCACCGCGCCCGCTGCGACCGGTCGTGCCGAAGGGACCATGATGCCCACTACCGGAGACGGCGACCGCGCGTTGGACATCACACCCGCCCCTTCTTCCTCTGCTGGTGCTGCTATACCATCCGCCACTACGACGACTTCGATGACCGGCGGTATCGAGACGATGTCCCCGACGGCCACCGGCGACGGCGACCGCGAGTTGGACATCACCCCCTCCCCCTCCGGCGCCGGCGGCGGCGGCGGAGGCTCCGCTCCCACCGCTTCCGACGAGACCACGGCGCCGCCCAATGCTGCGGGTGAGGTCGGGAGCACAAGCGTGGCGCCGACTGCCCTCGGAGATGCTGACGACATCGACACGACCTCGGGAGGGCGCGGCTTGTTCTCGACGAGTGTCGGAGGCGTTGTGACAGGGCTACTAGCGTTCTGCACCGCCGTCGTCGCAGTGGTTGTGTAATGGGAGTGACGAGTCGATTTGGAATAAAGGACGCGTTGATGCCGTACGTGTGCAGCTTGGTTGCTACTGTAAGCGTGTTTAGTTTCCCTTGCGTCTAGTAAGAAGTGGAAATCGGGGACTTGTCCCGGGTTTCAAGGCCGGCGGACGACTCCCATAGTGCGTAGCCTCTTCTGAGGAGACGCCCGGAACTGTATTTCGAGCGCGGACTGTTAATATAGTGTGCGTCGTGGCTGCTTACTGCTGCTTGAGTTCCAGTTCCCGCCGCGTGGCCATCGTCGGTGATGCTTTTAAGTGCTCGAGGTCGGATTCCCGCGTGTATTCATGTGCAGACAAGAAGCGCCTTGTATTCTTTTTGTGGGTTTCTAGATCTCTCCCCGTTTTTGTGTGAGTTCGTGATCGGCGTCGAGTTTCCTTTGCATGCTCGTGCCTTCTCGCCTTCACGCCTCTTTCTTTTTCTCGGTTATGGAGTGCAGGCGTTCCGCGTGTTTCCTAGTTCAATGTCTCGACGCTGGCGACGGCTGCACGAGTGAGTGCGATTGGGTCGCCGGGGAGGAGCCCTTGCGGCTCTTGCCATCGTGTGGAATGTATATTTTCCTGTTGTAGAAACATGCTTCGTTACCGTTTTGGGAAACGAGCGTGCGTGTTGCTCAATGCAAAGGAAGGGGGTGGGGGGATATCTAGGGGGCGTAGGGTGGTCGGGGCTTGCCTCAACAATTTAGTGCTCCTCGAGCAGGTCGCACAGGAAACGAAAACGGCTTCGCTGAAACTGCGGTCCTAGTCGTAGATGCCGATATAGCAGGGACTTTTTTTTTCGTGCAGGTACTGCTTGTGCTCGTGTAGTTGTCAAGGCTGCAGCGGTGGGGGTACCGACGAGCGTCTTTGCGCGGTGGGGGTTCAGTCGAGGTCGCCCTCGTGAATAATAATTATATCAATCGTGTTCTTGTTCAGTTATATTTTGTTGAATACGCGGGGTAGCAGCAGTGGCAACTACTGGACGAACGCGTCTCGCGCGTTCTCTGTGTCGCCCACGGGATATATGTGTTGCATGACCAACTGTTCGTTTGACTCGATGCAAGCAGTGCTGTCACGAGGCTCGAGCGCACAAAGCGAGAACGCCGTGGATGCAGGAACCTTCAAGGAAATTGAGCCCCGTTCAAGCCCCTAATTGTTTTGTATTTCAACGTTCATGCATACAAATCACCGCAATAGTGCCGGGCGAGAGAATAACCCACCAACTCTTCGTTGATGGTACGCACTGCCTTCCCTGTGCATGATGTATCAACGCTCCCTTTGCCTTGGCAGGCCAGGTTTGTTGTTGTTGTTGTTGTTGTTGTTTCTCACATTAGCTCTAAAAAACAAAATTGGAAGCCCGTGGTCTCAAAACCCGGCATACACGACCCCACGAAGAAACAGAAAAAAATAGGGTACAAAAACCACTCGGAAGAGAAACAAAATGATAGAAAGAA